ATTATATTAACTATACAACTAAATTGTTTAACATGACATTAATTTTTGGAATAAGGTTTACTTTCATAATTTTTCATACAAATAAATAGAGAAAATATGTAATAAATACACTCTTAGGACACTAGTAAATATTTTTATATTAAATCTATGACATGAGGTGGTTATTGAAATATATATTTTTTTCAAACTTTGCCTTAAAGTATAATTAATACACTTTTCAGTCACTTAGTATGAAGAATAAAAAAGCTAATATTAATTTTAACACTAATGTTATATGTATTAATTTAATTGATTAGTTGTTAAAATTAAAATTAATAGTATTTAATTTTTTATGTAACTTAATAGTTAATAAGTGCATTAATTACGCTTTTAATTGTTTACTTAAGGCAAATATTAAAAGGTTTTTTTTAACTAACCTTTTTGTCATAAATACATATAAAAAAATCAAAAAATTGATATTAATTTTAATATTGATATCAAGTGGATATATTTAATTGAATAATTGATAAATTATAAGTTAATTTTTATTTTTTCAATACAAATTTATAATAAAAAAATATATTTAATAGATCATATTAGAAAGGCACTCTGTTAAAAAAGAACTCTTTTAACATGTGCATCTCTTCATCATTAATTTGTATGAAAGAATAAAAATTGACTATAGTTTTATTAACTATCTAATTAAAATATTTCATGTGGGATTAATATTAAAAATAAAATTTACTTTCATAATTTTTTATATAAATTGTGAAAAAATACAATAAATATACCTTTAACATATACCTTAATAACCTATTAAAAAAACTCATTAATATAATCTTAACAACTTTTTAAATTAACTTTATGAATACCTAAAATTTAACATTAAGTTATCATTAAATTATCAATAATAATGAATCTTTACATTTACATTTTTAATCAATATAAAATTTAAAGCATTAGAATTTATCAACTCAATATGTATACTTACTAATACATTATATAGTAGTATTAAATATAGTTCACCTCTCTAACTAAAAATTACTAGTTCATAATAGTTGGGCTAAATGCAAATTACTGTAAAAACAAATAAATATAAGAGATAAGATTAGAAATCAACAACATAAATGATTGAATTTGAAAAAAGAAGTGGAGCAGGACATTGACAAAAAGGGTGCTTCTCTCTTCTTTGTTGGCAGCACATATGGAAAAAAAAAAAAAAAATCCAAGAAATGCTTTAACAATTGACCGTTTGTGGATTAAACGGTTCAAATAGACGACCAAGGCAACTCCGTCAGAAAAAGGATGACAACGAACAAAATAATTGGAGTACAGGGACGACACTTAGTGCTTTTGGTGAAGTAGAGGGATGACAATGAACAAATCCTTAGTAGAGGGATGGTCATGAATAAAAATCAAAAGTAGAGGGACAGTGGTTGGCTTTAACCCAAAAAAAAATTGGTGTGACCATTGCATTTAATCGTCAATAAACAGCACCGTTAGTTACAGTGGATGGAGAGACGACATTGGGGTGTTTTTGCATCGTAGAGGGATGATAAGTGGAGTTAATTAATAGTAGAGAGATGACATGAAGCCAATCCATAGTAACAGGTTTAGAATGCATTATTTTTTTTATAGTAGAGGAATGATAGATGGCCTTAATCCTTTTAAAATATGAGTAATGATGGGGGAAACAAAATAGGGAACGAAATTGAGAGACGACAATTGATGCAGGGGTCAAATTAGTAATTGCACCATATACATGAATTCTCATCACTTGTCATCTCTCAATTTCGTTCTTCGATTTCGTCTCCTTTATCGTTACTCTTAAAATATTGTTGTTAGTTTTTCTTTTATTCGGCCGGGATGACATCAGTCAGTTAATTGGTGTGTTTATGTCATTAAAATGGTTGCCACGTCATTAAAAGCATGTAGGCTAATCATGCCAAATAATGCTAAAACAGTAAAACCATATAGGCTAACGATAAAAAGATGATTTTTTTATATCATTTTTTATATATTATTAAATAAATATATTTATTTAATATTATAAATTTTAAATAAAACATAAATTATTTAAATAATATATAATGTTATATAAATAAATAATATAAAAAGATAATTCTTAAATTATTTTTCAATCATATAATGTGATGAAGCATCTGATGGAATGTAACGGCACGTGCTTCACAGGTGACATGTTGTTAACTTTTGGGGTTTTTGGTCGGTTTTGAATTGTACATGGCTTTGAGTCTTTGACAAGAGGAAAAATATTAGAGGATGTTAACTATAAAAAATAATAATAATATAGGTGGTGCGAATAGAAAGCTTGGAATAAAAAATGAAGAATTCTTATCCTCATGCTTATCTACGTCAATATATTTGGTGAAGGTCCTTGTTTCACATTCATTAAAAAAAAATTAAAATTTTATTTTAATTTTTTTATTTTAATAAAAAAATTTTAATTTTTTTATTTAAAAATGT